CGGGGTGGAGAAGAGAGAGAAGAAAAAAAAAAAAAAGATCCGTTATGAAAATAAATTTTTTTCGTTTTTACTTTTTCAAAAAAGACAAAAACGTTTTTATTTTTGATTTTGAGTCAGATTTTTTCTAAACACATTTTTATTTTTCGTTATTATTTTTGTTTTTTAAAAAATGTGAAAAATAAAAATAAAAATGGAAACAAACGGCACCTTGAAACGGACGACCGTCTGACACGGATATGAATTTCTTGAGCTGTCTTTTCATGTAGGTCCAATAGATTGGGGCGATGTGGGGGCTTGGTTGGCTAATGTGCCAATGTCCTAAATGTGGCTTTTGACTTTTGGCTTTTTAGGTGGCTGCTTAAGGGCACATCTCGTGTCCTTGGGAATGACCCGGCACATGCTACAATCCCCACCATCTGCTGTTATGTTATGTTTGGTAGGATAAATGAAAAAAATATTTAGGTGAAATAAGTAAAATAATTTTTTTATATTGTCTAATAAAAAAAAGTAAAAAAAAAATGTTAAATTTAAGACATTTTATAATAATATTTTAATATAAATAAAAATATGATGAATGATAAAGATTAAAATTATTATTTTACATTTTATTTTTTTATCAAAAATTTTTTTTTTCTTCTCAAAATTAAAAGGATTAAAAATTAATAGGTCCCATGAATTTTTATTTTCCTTCATTCTTCATTTCCTTCTTACCAAACAACCTAAAATTTTATTTTCCTTTATAAAATCATTCCTCTATTTTCTTTCTTCTCTCTTCTCTACCCTACTAAACACACTGAGATGACGTTGGATTTAAAATGAATGCGGTGGACATAGCTAAGGACAATTCGGAAGGTGAAATAATGCTAAAGGGTAGCTTTTTATTATTTTAAAAATATGAGAAGTGCACAAGAGCTTACAATAATAGATGACTGTGGTTGGGTAGTTATTTAATGTTGTTACAGTTGAAAGTAGAGACTCCTCAACCAATAAGGTGGTAAGCCTAATGTCATCAGACTTTCTGAGTGGTTTGATAATAAGTATTAGGTTCCGAGTCTTATAAGAAACGCTTCTATTTTCAGGTTATCGGTTCAATGTTCATTGACAGTAAACTAAAATGAAACGCCTGATGTAAATAGCCTTGAGTTAATATGGACGACTTCTCGGTGTACGAGCAGTAGTGGAGCCACTTTACTTTAAGAAATATATATATATATATATATATATATATATTTTCTAATATTGTAGTTATATTTTAACTTTATAAGAATATTATTTGATCCCACTTAATATTTGGAATTTTTATTTATGTCTCCATTAGTGAGAAGTTCTCTCTAATTTTTTTTTTTCATTGATGAAAAATAATATACTCTTTAATAAATGTCAGAGAGCAAAATACATGGCCAACTGTGTGACTACATTAAATACCTATGATCAATCAGGCTCGGCCTAGTCTACCACAAATGATTAAGGGCTCGTTCGGTTCGCTAATTCGAGTTTTTAATTCGAGTTGAGATGTGATGTTGTGTGAGAACTTTTTACTGTAACAAAAAAATTAAATGTGACTATTTCTGAGAGCTTTTTACTATAATAAAACTCGAATTATAAACTCGAATCAGTGAAAAGAACGGAGCCTAACTGTGTTCAAGGCAAAAGGAGAAATTATAAGCTTTGTGAGGATAATATGCTACGAGCTTTTTCACATTATGGGATCTGGGATCTCATCTATGACCATGTGTGGGTTTTATTTGCATAATATTTTATGTTCAGAACCTTAAGGAATTCTATAATGAAGGAAAAATCAGGAAAAAGAAAATGTAACATAACAAGAAATGAAGGGGAATCAGAAAACATACTAAAAAGGGGGGGAAAAAAATAATAATAGAGAAGATAAGAGGACTGAACTATATGAGGCAAAGTCAAATAGTGGTGCTTCAAATTTAGGAACTTTATTTGTATAACTTACAATGCTTTAACTCAGACCTCTAGTATTTCAAACTTTATTAGAATCCCTTGTTTCAAACAAAAGGATTATGCCTACTGTTTATTACCATACATTGATATAAAACGTTATAACTCTACAAACACAATACAGAGTAGAATGAACACTGCCATGTCAACCTACAGGACTTGGTATCTCCTGTGTGAATTTGAAGCACTGGGAGATGAAGATTGCCACCAAACCAGGCATAGCAATGGCAGTGGCATAGCCAATTGATAATATTCGTTCCATAATCCAAAAACTGCCCATGAGTGTCTCAGTAATGTCTCTGCCTGTGAAATAGAAACAACGTGAGCTTACCTAAGTAGAACATAGACAAGAGATGAAAATAAAGGCGTCCCCAAATTACTTATTACACGAATGCAGAAACAAGGTGATGCCATGAAACTAATGGCAATTGGCAATGTGATTGACTTGTAAAGAGTTTCTCACATTAATCCCGACCATTATCAAAATTTTCTAACAGGAAGCTTCATTATTATGACCAAAGACATCAATACAATTCAACTACTGCTTCGCGTTAGATAAACTGCTTGATGACTAAAACCATTTAAAATAATTTACTGCAAATACTTGTTTGTAGCTCGTCAGGTCCAATCCCTAGCATTGTGCTCTAACAGTAAATTATATGTGCAAAAACAAGAGCTAAATTAAGGCAAGACATAATAGATTCAAAGTGGCACCAGCAAGAGTAGCACAGTATAAGCTCAACAAAGTTATAACAAAAACGCACCCATAGCAGAAAGAAAAGTCAGGGACAGGTTATATAAGCTGCCTCTGCCTCTTTTTTTGTGTGTGTGTGTGTGTGCGTGTGTGTACAAATGTAGAAACTTGGTCCAACGTGCTAACTTACTGCTGCAGAAAACCATGGAAAGATTTTCCTTCATAATTACCAGGACCAAAAAAAGAAAAAAAAAAAAAAGGTTTGCAAATAAATATATATTGTCTTCAATCATACAACTAAAAGTAGACATTTGCCTCCGCTAATGTCAAAAGATAGAAGTGATACAAAATTGTGAGGTACAGGGAAAAAAATTGCAACATCTTTATTTAGTCAATTTTTAGCCATTAGATTGTGTGAACTCCTATAAATAATCTGCAATCTGCCTGGTGTTTGTCGGCCTTTAAAGTCCCAGTATTTTGCTGAGTTAAGCTTGTGAAATTGCCATGATATGTTAATGTTACAATAATATTAAACATTTCATTGAACACCCTTATGAAGTAACAACGAAAAAAGATCTGTTAAACAAGTTCACTTCAAATATCAATTTTAGAAAATTAACCACCATAGATAAGGAATCACTTCAGTTACTATATAGACAATAAGGCAGTCAATATTATTCATTAATGGTGAGGAAGAAGATGCACAATCTAATAGTTCCTTAAGAGAGTGCACAAACCTTGGTGAAGATAAACAATTTGAGGAGTTTGGAAAGCCAGCAAAAACATTCGAGTACGACTTGGTTAAATACGAAAAATTTGCGATTGGAGGAAGAGCAGCCACTTTTTCACCTTTCTTCAAAAGATCTTGCAAGTTAAGCCTCTGCAGGGTTAGGACAGCTCTCGTCTCCTTCCAAATGAAAGCAAGATGACCATTTTGAAATGCGAAGAGGGAACCAGGTTTGGCACCTGGATATCTGAAACCATATCCATTTGCAATGCCCTCCCCAACATAAGCATGTTCCACATTCACAGGAACGGAATCTGCATCCAAATCCCATGGAAATGGATCTGGTGAAGGCTCATCCACATTCACGGTAAACATTGCCGAGCCATTAGGATGCAGAACATAATGAGTGCCTTCCAATATTTTGGTTGCAATGAGCATCCTTTGCCCTTGGGACTCCTCATATGAAAGCAAGAGAAAGAACAAAGCCTTTCCAGGCTTGTCTTCAGTAGGCTTTCCAGGAGGCCAGCCAAAAGTTCCCCCCCATAGACCAGAATACTCTTGTTCAGCAGTCGGAATGCGCAATGGCAACTTGTAAAGGGCAAACCGACTGTCATGCATATTTGGCCATGCCCTATAAGATGATAGCTTCACGGTGGTGGCATGTAGTGTTAGTCCTATTGTATCGCCTGACCTCAGAAACTCATGAAGTTGTGCATGCTTACTGTCACTGCTTGAACTGCTATTTGAAGGCACACTACTGTTAGACTTCCGAAAGATCTGATTAATGCTCTTGCTAAAATACTTGCCAAGAGTTTTCTTCTTGTTGTCTTGCGTATTATCACCATCTTCACTAACAGAATGACGAAGAACACTTGATCGTTCAAGAGTTTTCCTGAACTCACTTAATTCCAGTTGGGTAGGATCAGCTGAAGGTAGTTGAGGGTTTGTTTTCCAATCAACGTGACCTCCACCAAGCTTATGCTTTTGAATCAGCACTGATCTTCGTTCATATAATAGCACCATCTCTTTACAAAAGTTCTCCTCATCAGTCCTTATTGGAGGAAACAACGGACCATTTCCCAGTTCAGGAATCTTTATACGAACTTGGCTAGTAATGATCTCAAGCAACTTTCTTCTATCACAAAAAGCCAATCGACTAAAGGGTACTGTTGATTCACTCTGATTATACACCCTATGCGATCTTGACAATCCACTATTTGACCTACAAACCTTTCTGGGCACCTCTTTGTCTAAACTCTTACTTTGCAACAATTTGACTTTGGTTTCATGATGTCTAGGCTCAACCTCAAGCAATAGCACATTGCAAGTCCTGTCAATGGACTTGATCGACCCGGGATACAAATAGTCATTTCCCTTCTCCCTTCCATGTAGGAAAAACGTTGTACAACCATCACAATCACCAAAGATTTCAAACACAGGAGCCCAGAGAATAGGGCCATCCTCAATTCCTAATGGGCCAAGTTCCTGAGGTATTATTCGACACCCAACAACAGAAACAAAACCAGGCATGACATAAACCACATTGCCAAGCTCAGGATTCTGGTGAACCCATATTCCCATCAATGACTTAACGGTATATAGAAAGCGGCAAAGGGCCTTATAAGATGAGACGACCTTTCGCCATTCTATGAGCTCTTGTTGAGGCACAATTCCTAACCTCTCACACTGAGCAAACCATAGTTTTTCAGAGGCTACAAGGGCATATAGACTCCGACGACATAGACCAAGATTGCATACGTCATGTGGCGAGAGTGACCGAGTGATAAGTGAGAATACATCGTCCGGCAAAGCCAAAAGCAAGGCTGAGCCACAGGATTCAGGAGACATAGCAGATTTATGATGAATTAATTTGACATGAAATCTTGAAATAAAGGATGATATGTCCAAATTTTGCAATTTCACTGAATACCCACAATTCCTAATCACATTATTGAATCAAAGGAAAATGTATATATTTTATATATATGCCACTTCGAAACTCCTTCAGAACCTGCACCAAGATAAGCACACAATTACAAATGTTCATGGTTTGAAATTCCAAGGGCAATTATCAGAAGATATAGGTCTTAATTTTAAGTCTTTCAACTCTATCTTGTCAGAATCTGTATTCTGCCCAACTCAACTACTGAACCATCGAATTTTTTTTTTTTTTTTTTTGGTTTTTTAAGAAAAGGAAATTGAGAGTGGAGTACACTAAATAATCCAATTCTTCTTCTTTACCGTACCATTTTGTTATTTTGTTAATTATTCAAGCACAAATGTCCGTACAACTTCTAATTTTGTCGACCATAGAGCCTTCAATCTCCTTAATTTCACTCAGGTCACAATTCTCAGTCAACCAAATTCCACTTCTCTTTCTCTCTCTCAAAGAGAAACATAAACACAAACAACTTGAATGTCTCTAGTTTCTCTCTGGGTTTTCCGTCAATCTAACTACTTCAAATTAACCGTTTATTTTAATTATCCATCCATAAAGTATAATTCTCTCGGAACCGATCTAATTCATGATCTTTTGGAATTTAAACAACAAGAATATACAATTCTCCAATCTGATCTCAGAAAAAAAAAAAAAAATAGACCTTCACCCAAAATACCCATAAAACAAAAGAAAGAAAGATTGAACAGAGTTAATAAGAAAAAATAAAAAAAATAAAAAGAAATATAATTGATCGGCTTACTTGGCGTCGGTGGTGGATAAGGCGCAGTTAGGACGGTCTGAAAGAAGGGAATTGGGATGAAAGCAAACTATCTTTATTTGTGTTCGATATTGACATTAAAGATCAGACAGAGTTCCAACGAAAAGGAACATTAACTACAGTCCACAGCAACTAGTACACGCACGGAAATCTTGCCGTTTCTAAAGGAGATGTTCTTCGTATGAAATGTTGTCATTTCTCAAGGTTATTTATTTATTTTGAGATAAATTCTCAATGGTTTTTTTTTTAATTAGAATTATTCTCAAGGTTATTATCAAAGTTCTTCATGAGTTATTTAATACTCTATGTTTTATCTTTATTCAAAAAGTGTACATCGATTTTTATGCTTATCAAAAGTATGTTTTCAAATTATAATTAATACATAAATTTATATATTTTTTTAGACAAATTTGAACTTTGACTTGTAAAATGATCAATTTACCCTTAGAATGGACGTGCATAACTATTTAGAAACATATACGTCATGTACCTTTAAAAATAATTTAGTCATTTTACAAGTCAAAATATTAAAAAATTTATAAATTTGTACATTAATGTAATTTGAAGATATATTTTTAATGAAATTAAAAACAGATAGTATACTTTTGAAATAACATAAACATAAGGTATAAAAATGTAAATAACCTAACTTTTTTTTTACGTAAAGGTGGTTCATTGTTGTTTCTTCTAGATTATCGTCGTTCGCTTTATCCAGTTTATGGTCGTTTGTTTCTTCCTTTCCCCGAAGAGAACAGCATCCTGAAATCAATAGGAAGGAGAAGAAGAGAAATCAAAGCAACCATGGCTGTAGATTCACCCGTGGTTCTTACCTTTCTCTTTCTCACTGCCGTCGTTTTGTTCTCTGCGCCTTCCCTTCACGCCCTTGGCACGTATGCCCTCGATCCCCAATTCTTCTTTATCAAAATCCCATTTTGGGAGTGTCTTTGTCTCTCAATTAGAGGTTTTTGAACGATCTGATGAGCAGTTTTTCCTTGTTCTGAATTGGATTTGCGCAGAAACGATGAAATTGGAGGAATTGGGCGTAGAGTTCTGCTGAGTTTCAAAGAAACCCCTCGGGGAAGTAACGCCACCTTCGATTGCTCTCCTTCTGGTCCCTGCGTTCCTTGCCTCTATTCCGAAAAGGTCTCTCTCTCTCTCTCTCACTGTTTATTCTCTAATTTTACTGAAATTTTTGATATGTTTGTTTGAGAAATCTAATAAATTCCGTCTCTTTTATAGCTAGATTTGTTTGTTTCTTGAGATTTAACACTTGAAATTCGTTAATATTTCTTGGTTTAGGACCGGAAATTACCCCTTTTTCAAAAATTTTATATTATTTTGATCATCTTGAGATTTATTTTTCTCTTAAAATTTTCCCAAATGAAGCTATAAGCTCAAATGCTTATTTGCTTTGATGACTTTTCTTGCAGCCTATCTTGGTTCTTTCTGTAATTTTGCTGGGACTTGAGGATTACTTTTGGAATAAAATGGATGTCCTTTTTCTTTTGCAATATGTATAAAACTACTCTAGTAATATTGAGATCAATGATTGCAAAACCATTCCATATTCTTCTTTTGTTTCACTTGCCATGTAATTTATCATCATTACTTTGCCTCATACTTAATCTAGGCTGGCGTTAATTTTATATTCATTTGTTTATTTTCTTGGTAGAACGATGAGAAATATCGCTGCAGTGAGACTGGTTACCGTATCCCTTTGAAATGTGTGGAAATAAAAGATGGATCAAAAGATGCTAATGGGAAAAATTCTGGAAAGAGATCTGCTTTGGAGATTTTCCCTAATAATGTAAAACTACATACAGTGTTTCATAGTTTGGAAGAAATAGCTAGCTCTTTGAAACATAGAAGGTTGCTTTCGGTTTCATCCACGCAAGGGAGCGGAGAACAAGCTTACATCACTTACAGAAGCTGTATACCGGCAGTTAATGAAGACAAGTTATCAGTGCTTGGGTTTGAGGTATGCTTGTTTTAATCCTCTGCTAAATGCTAATAGTCTTTTATTGTTGGACATGCTCGTGTGTATATGCTCTGTTATTTTACAAAAAATCATGTTTATTTTAAGTGGAACTCTGCCAAATTGTTGATGGAAATCTCTTTAGTATGATGCAAAAATTTGTCCTAATGGTGCCATTATCCTTTGGATTAGTTTACCATTTGATTAAGAAATAATTTTGATATGATCTAACATTCCGAAATGTGCGATATCAGGGATAACTAACCATAAACGACCCAATTATGTACAGATGTCTTCTGCTAGGATCTTGTTGAAAAGATAGTGCAGCAAGGCTGGTGCTATCTTGTCTATGTAGCTCATTCCATGATTATCAACTGACAGCTAATTTCATTAGCAGCGGCAGAAATGACATGTATTGCTAACTAACTAACTAACTAACTAAGTGCATATCTTCCCGTGATTGTATAATGTATATTGAACCCAGAGGATTATTTAACTGGTTTGCTAATTGCTAGGATAGTGCCTACTCTCTAGTGTCTATTCGTCATCTACGTATTGAACCAAAAGAAAACATCTCTCTCTCCGGGAAGGCGGGGTGGGGTTTGCGGGCGTGCGCATGTTTCATTGGCTACGACATGAAAACAAAATCACATTTTTGTGTGGGTGGAAATGGTAACTCATCTATGTTAAATATTATACGTGTTGACAAAATTCTTTGGAACGATTTTGGACAGGGAATTGTGTTTTGCTTGTTGCTCGTGAGTGGTTCAGTTGTATACGTCAGGAGAAAACGGACTGCTACCACTTCTTGGTTTGGCACGGGGAGGATTCAGTCCAATTCCAGATTTTAGATTGTAAGTTGCTGCTTAAGATCATGAAAGATCCTGAGATTTTCTCTGTGTAGCTAAATTTTTTCAGTATATGTATAGTTTAAAAACATTATTTTATTTTATTTTATTTTTCTTTGTACTCTTTGGCTTAGTTTGGTAGGGTTATAGATTTTAAAAAAATTGCTTTTAACTGTGCTGAAGGAAAAAACAGCTGTTACAAAAAATAGCTGAGTGTTTGGTAAACTATAGTTATAGTAGCTGTGCTGGTTCCAAAATCAGTGTAATAGTGTTTGATAAATTATGAGGGTGAATTATTATGAATAGTTAAAAATTACGACTATATTATATTATACTATAATATAATATATATAATTACAATATAATGTATATTTATTATTATATTTAATATAATACAATAAAACTATTATTAAATATTTTTTTATAATTAAAAATTACAACTATATTATATTATATTATATAATTATTATTATATTATATTAAACAAATATATTATAATTAATATATTATGTAAGTGTAATACACTATAATATAATAATTAATATTATTATTGTAGTATTATTAATATAATAGATATAATTATATCAATACAATACAATATAAAATATATTATAAAATAATAATTACATAATTATATTATAATTATAATATCATATTATTAAAATAATTATAATATTATTATAATATCATATTGTATGATAAAATAATAATATTAGGGTTATTAATATAATTATGATATTATTTGTTACAATATTACTATTAAATTAAATTAAATTATATTATAAGTCTAAATTTTAAATTAAAAAGATTGTAAATTTTAAATTTCATTAGGGGTATTACGGGTATTATAAAAATTTTATTAGTTGTACTATACTGATTCGCGCATAATTTAAAAGTTAAAGTTGCATTTAGGCTGCTTCTAATTTTGACTGTAGATTCTTAAATTTTTTTTCAAAAAGTACTTTTAAGAAGATTTATCAAATACTAATATCAGTTTTTGCTACAAATAAACTAATTTTGAGAAGAAAAAACAATACCAAACTAAGCATTTTGACTTTTATATGCATTATTGCCTCTGAGAATTGTACCAATGGTCCCTAGTTTGGTGGGAAATGTTGTTTTCTTCCTCCCAAGTGTTTATTCCCATCGTTGAAACGCGTCCTCGGAGTTTGACGATTAATTACTCCATTGAAAGAAAACTCATCCCGTGGGCCGTAGCACCTTCTCTCTCTCTCTCTTCTTTCCCTCTCTCTCTCTCTCTCTCTCTCTCTCTCTCTCTCTCTCTCACAGTAGAGTGATTTGAACTCTACACAGGGCGGATTCAAGTATGAATTTAAGCAAGTATACAAAAAGGCCACAGCTTCGGCCAGAAATTTTGGCAGCTAAAGTAGCTGAGGCCAAGGTTGGAGGTTAACTCTACGGCTTTTTTCCCGAATTTTTATCGGGATTGAACTAAAGTTTCTCTCATCTTTTCGTTTTGGAAGCTCGTTTGTTTAGTGAAAAAAAAAATGATGTTTGAGATAATATATATAATCATATATAGATAGGTAAATGAAATCAAATTAATAATCATACAAGAAGTCCAGAGATTTCGGTTGTTTCATCCTCCTATGAAAAGAAAGAGCACTCATTCTTTTGCATCTCTCTTTTTATTTTTTACTATTTTTTTTGGGAAATGGGATATGGTTTAGCTTCCTGGTCTAACATGAACATAAATTACATAATATTTGAGCTGAAAAGAAGAAACGGAAGCTAGTTCCATCATTCACCCTCTACAATTTTACTCATTTATCTTGATTAATACTTTTTTAATTAACATAGTTATTTAATTAAAAAGAATATCAATAAAGAATAATGAGTATAAATTCAAACCCACATAATTTAAGAGGTATGTGTCTAATTTAAGAGGTATCTATTAGTCATTTCATATTTTTAGTCAAAATAAATAATGATGTGGTTTTTTTTTTAGCTTTTCACTACTCTAACCATTAATTAAATAATTAGTTATTTTAACTAAAGTATTTTCTAAACTAAATATAACTAGTAAGAAGTGACTAACTATTTATTTTTTTATTTTTTATTTTGATATAAAGTAAAAGTTAATTTATATTTTAAATTAAAAATATATAAAATAATATATGTTTAGTTAAAATAGAGAGTATAAATGAAGTGATTTATTAAAAAATTATTAATTAAAATAATTTTTTAATTATTTTAATTAAAATTTAGTTAAAATTTAAAGAGTTGATAGAGAAGCTGCGGGTCCGTTTAGTTCGTTGATTCGAGTTTTTAATTCGAATTTAGATGTGATTTTATGTGAGAATTTTTTACTGTAATAAAAAATTTAGATGTGATTGTTTGTGAGAGCTTTTTATTGTAATAAAACTCAAATTTTAAACTCGAATCAGCGAAATGAACGGGTCTAAATTCTCTAGCCCATTTCTATCTTTTCTTTGAAGGAGGTGGGAGAGAAGGAGAATGTAAAGAATAAAGTTCTTTAAAGAAATGCCTTTTATCTATTTTTTCTCAATTGAAAGGTGTGCGTGCAGTCGTAGCAGTTACAACACTGAAGTAATGACGTACCGTATTGCAAAAATCCAACCCCCTACTACTCTATTGAAAGATCTCTATAACCACCGACGTCTAATCAACCAGACCATATTTCAAGCAAAAAAGAAAAAGAAAAAACCAACCAGACCACAAATCACGTTTTAATTCTGTACAAAAACGACCAATGCAAGCGAACCATCTCCATTCGCTATTCAAAACCCTCTGAACCTGGCCTTTGGCAATTTAAAGAAGTAAATTCTATTGAAAAGGCCACTTGGCAAAGATGGGAGAGAAAAATAATAAAAAAAAATTCAGACATTTATTTTTTTATTAACAACAGTAGAAAAATAATAAATGCGTTTAAAACTCATTTTAAAATAATTTTTTTATATGAAAATAAAAAAAAATATTTATTCTCAAATAAAAATTATTTTTAAAAATACGTTTAATAATTTTATTAAAAAATTATTTTTAATATAAAAAAATTCATTAATGTCTCTTTAAAGAAGAAAAAATTATTTTTAATTTCTCTCTTATTTTACACTAAACTAAAAACTCGTTTTTATTTTCATTTTTTATAGACATTTATTTTTTTATTAACAACAGTAGAAAAATAATAAATGCGTTTAAAACTCATTTTAAAATAATTTTTTTATATGAAAATAAAAAAAAATATTTATTCTCAAATAAAAATTATTTTTAAAAATACGTTTAATAATTTTATTAAAAAATTATTTTTAATATAAAAAAATTCATTAATGTCTCTTTAAAAAAAAAAATTATTTTTAATTTCTCTTATTTTACACTAAACTAAAAACTCGTTTTTATTTTTATTTTTTATCTTTAATTGTGCTAAACATCTTTTCTTTTTAAAAAACGTAAAAAACAAAAACAAAACTAACTTCAAACGTGGCCAATACAACGCAAAAGTCACACCTATGCGGCGAAGAGCTCAGTGACCAGAAAACATTCATCACCTGTAAACGCTTACCAGGTCTTGATGCACAGCAATCCCCTGAGCAAGTTAAGGGAAAACTAACCCCGCATTTTTCTACATCAAAATCACGAAATTACAGAGCAAGATACACCATGTTATTGCCGCTTCCTCTACGAAAATATACAAAACAGGCCATTGGTGGCTACTGTAAGTTCTCCTAAAGAGTTTCTTTAAGCAAATCAACAAAGCAGAGATGGGGACAAAAAGGAAAGAGAAGAAACAAAAAGGAAAAAACTCCAAACAAAGAATGGTGTTGATGGTGTATGGTAAACCCCTCAACTTAAACATCGGAACTCCTCGTTTAAAGACACATCTACAGTAATAAGGCAGGAAATACAAGGATTACAAACAGCTGGAAGATATGTAGAAATTACAAAAAATAGTCGGGGGTCTTGCGCGTGTTGTCGGGTTCAATTTGCCGAGGTGCTGGATCAAATTGAAGGAAGTTTTGGTCCATATTCTCCCCAATCTCGAGTATTGCAGCCATATTCCCACACCGGTAACAATAGTTTGGAGCACTAAATACCGTCACGACGTTCTTCTCCTAAAAATATGTTCAAGTAAAAGTTATAATGCAATTTGAATAGGCATAATGACGGGATGACGAAACAACTAAAATTCTGTTCATTTTTTGGTACACACCTGACACCAATTGTATCCTTCCATCACAAGCTGGTGAGCTCTTGAGATCAGAGTAAGTCCGTTGGTATGATTAAACTGAGCAGCTATGTCCTGTCCAAATGTATAACCAGCACCACGCGGAGATATTCCCCACCCACAGCGGTCATCTGGATCAGACCACAAAAGATCACACATTGGCCCTTCATGAGGAACCTGCTCATGCAACAAGAAACTTGTCAGATAGCAGCCATAGAACTGCAGGTACTTAAGCCATGGAGCATTCATAATCTCAATTTTCAACAATTGCCAAATGCTAGAAAAGCAGTAATGTATGCACCTCTTGTATGCGGTCCAAAGCTCGTATATTATCCAATGTATCCAACGATGGTGAAAGCCCTCCATGCAAGCAGAAGATCTGCAAAATATACACCGGTTAGAAGCTCTTAACAATAGTCATTTTTAATGGCTATCGAGAAAAACTAATTAAAATATACAGAGTTCAAACCTGACTCTCAATAAGAGCTGTAAGGGGTAGATAATCAAATAGATCAGTAAAATACTTCCACACATTGGCATTCCCATATTTTCGCAAGCATTCATCATAAAAACCATACCTGAGAAAGAAGGGACAAATGAAATGAATAAAAATTTGAGCAAAATAATGAAAACAAGTTACACTGCACCCTCCCTCCATTCAGAATCCGACTATTTGTAAACCCTCAAGGCAAGTAGTGTGATCAAGTATTAATTGCATCAATATCCACGGAAACTGATTTGAGTCAAAAAGAAACAAATGCAAAGGAACACCTTCTAGAGTGCATACCTAAACTCAAACACAAATTCCTTCCACTTCCAGAACAATAGAATATTGTCGAACTATAAGGAGGCTTAGAAGGGAGAAAAAAAGTCTCACACTTGGGTAATTTGCCGACTTTCATGGTTTCCTCTGAGAATTGTAATTCTATCTCTGTAACGGACTTTTAGTGCCACCAGAAGTGTGACAGTCTCCACCGAATAGTACCCGCGATCTGCAGTTTTGCAGCATAATATTGAGAAACGCTAGCACTAGAATGTTGAAAACCCAAATGGATGATGCAAACGTATATTACGGATCATGTTTTACTAATAATATTCAGAAACAGAGAGATTTCCTTTCAGTAGCTCATAGTACAAACTATAAAAAAAAATAAAAAAAAGTCATATGGAGCTCATAGAGTCATAGTACAATCAGAAAAAATAAATAAATAAAAAAGAAAGAACCAAGTCCTTTAGCCAACAACAACAAATACAAGCCTTAATCCCAAATTAATTAGGATCAGTTATATGGATTTCTCGTTTCCAGTTTGCTCTATTAAACACGAGACCCTCCTGAAGCCCTAGATTTTGAAAGTCGTGCCTAACTACGTCAGCCCAAGTAATTCTTGGTCTACCCCTCGCTCTCTAACATCTACGTTGTACATGCCTGTACCACCTCAAACGATTTTCCTGTACCATATATTCTATTGGTGCTACACCTACTTTACTATAAATAACTTCATTCCGTATGCAATCCATCATCGTATAGCCACTCATCCATCTTAACATACGCATCTCCGCCACACTAATCTTATATATTTGTTGTCTCTTGAAGGCCCAACATTCACTACCATATAACATAATTAGGCGAATTACTGTCCTATAGAATTTTCCTTTCACCTTAATAGGCATCTTATCATAAAAAAAAACTTCCGTCACATTCTTCCACTTAATCCACCCCGCCTTAATCCTATGTCTAATATCTTCATCTATATCCCTTTCTCACTGCACTATGAACCAAGTACCTAAATTTCCTAGAAGCCCCAATCACCAAGTCCTTTAGCCAATTAAAAAAAAAAAAAAGAACCATAATAATAAATGATCCACTCACTACCGAATGTAATCGAAGAGAACCTTCAGTTTCCAACCATTCCAAATCTCCAACCATGACAATATTCATGGTTCCTGATTCAGCAAAAAAAACAAAAAAACAAAAACATGAATTCTTCATTCTCCTAAAATAGATAATAACTGAAAACAAGACAGAGAGTGCAAGATATACACGCACGGGGAAATTCGGACACCATCGACTATGAAACAGAAAGAACGCTTATCACGAAGAAAAAGAAAAATATATCCGCACCTAAAAAGATATTCTAGCAATTCCACGACGAACCAAAGCATTAAACCACAAAAATGAAAAAAAAAAGTACGATTACCAAATATTCAAAATGAAAATAATGAATAAATTAATTTAAAAAATTGTAAAAACTCACCTACATAATCTCCCATGAAAAGGTAATTGGTGTCAGGCGCATTTCCTCCTATCCGAAAGAGCTCAATGAGATCGTAGAACTGACCGTGAATATCACCGCACACCGTCACCGGACACTTCACCGGCTGTACGTTCCACTCCTCCACCAGAATCGCCCTCGCCTGCTCGCAGAGCGTCTTCACCTCGGCCTCCGGCAACGGCTTGCACTCCATCAGATGCTCGATCTGACGGTCCAGATCCGCGTGAGACGGCATCGTTTTCCTCTACGCCCTCCGATTCAAACACAACCTCGCCGATGTTTCCGATTCGCCGCAGATCGATTCGGATGAAGTTTCCAGAAAACTCAACACCGCGCGACCGATCCGCCGCCGAGCGCTGCTAGGGTTACGGTTCTTCGGTATTGCAACGCGAGGAGCGAGACGAATCGTTTCGGAGATCGGTGCGGTTTCGACCTCTCGATCATTCCTCGCTCTCTCTCCCCTTTATTTTTCTCTCGAACCAAACAGATAAAAAAAAAGAGAGAAAAATAAAATATAATTAGCGAAATTAAAATTAAATCGTATTTATGTGAATGTGAGAAAAAAAGAGGGAAATGAAATGAGAGGAGAAACACGGAGAAAGAGAGAAAAGTAAATGAAATGAAATAAAAAGGAAATGAAACTGAAATGCAAACGAAAGGAGAGAGAGGAGGAATTGTTCGTGAAGTTTCGTCTCAATATTATTGTAAGGAACGAAAATCCTCTCTCCTTCTCTCTCCGGTGGCTATGCTGAGTCAAAATCATTACGGTTTGACACGTGTCGATAAGCTGCTGTTTTTGGACGGTCTAACCACTCAGCATGTTTGTTCACTGCCCAAAAGCAGTTGTAGGGGTCAACGGATTTAATTTCGAATATGAAAAAGAGAAGAGACAAATAAACTTTTAGAAATGTATAAATTAAAATTTTTATAATTTACTCTTAATTAATATTTTTTTATTAAATAAATAAAAAAAATATTTATTAAAAATGAAGGATAAAAATTTAGATTCATACACTTTTAAAAATAGATTTTATAATTTTCTAAATACCACTGAAAAGAAAACAAATACACCTTATATTAATAGACAATTAGAGATTAATTTTATCTTTTATTCTTGACTAATATTATTTTAATTAAATATTATATTAATTAAGAGAGTATTAATTAAAAATAAATGTTAAAAATTTAAACTCGTGTATTTTTAAAAGTAAGTTAAGTAATTTTTCTCCGCAAATTCAATTATAAAAATAAGAAAAAAAAATTAGAAGAGAAAATAATTCTTAAAACAAATTGAGAATTTTATGATAGAGTTTGAAATAATAAGACACCAAAAATAGTCGAAGAATTCTCCCACGGCTTTTTGGATGTGGACTTTAAGATATTTTATGCATATTTTTTGGCTAAAAAAAGACTTCAGACTTCAAGATATTGACTCATCTATGATGCTATTGAGCGGCTTTGGATTAAAAGATGAAAATGGCGCCATGCATGAACCTTATATATGTATTAAATATTAGAATTCAGGTTGTTCTGATTCCAAATACGAGTTCTTTATTATAATGAATGAAAAAAAAAAAATGTGCGATTAATTTTGGAGGAAACTAATTAGAAAATAATGAAAAAGCTTAACAAATGGTAAAGTTAATTTTAAGAATAGGCATGCTTTGTTTATGTCGTTTACCATTGTTTTCCTTCTTTGCTGGCTGGAAAGCTATATCTGCTTTCAAATCAAAAAGCAGCACTATTTTATTCACAGGCAAATAATAGTTATTTAGTAAGGAATCTGGGCTTTCATTTCATCATTGGTTTAAAGAGAATCCTTTCAAATAATTATTAGTAGGCCCATTTCATCATTGGTTTAAAGAGAATCCTTTAAAATAATTATTAGTAGGCCCTCATAGAACTGTAAGTGTAGACCGGGAGGCCCACTACTAATAGTTCGAGCCTGAACTGCCCCTAATATCTGGGCTGAGCCAGGCCAAGATTCGAGCCCAAAAGTTTATTTAGCCCGAGCCCTTTCTTTAAAGATTTTCCTAAAAATACCTTGTAAAATTTTGAATTGAGCCGGGCTGGGCCGTTCCTCTCCCATTTAGGACAAGGCCGGAGTTCCCATTCATGCCATCGAGCCTGGGTCGGGCAACCCGAATTTTATATCTACTTTGTAGTTATAAAAACTGCAAATCTTCTTTAACCGTAAACCCAATCCTTAAAAGACGTATATTAGGGGTCCGTTTAGTTCGCTGACTCGAGTTTTTAATTCGAATTGAGATGTAACTTTATGTGAGAGCTTTTTACTGGAGCAAAAAAGTTAGATGTGATTGTTTCTGAGAGCTTTTTACTATAACAAAACTCGAATTCTAAACTCGAATCGGTGAAATGAACGGGCCTAGGTTTATAGCTAAATAATGATCACAAATGGCAAAATTCATATTTTTGTAAACAAGAAATGCCAACATCACTCTTTCAGTTACTTTATTTATTATTCTCTGTATTAATTATTTGACATGTGATCTCTACTAATATGATATATCAATCAAGTTAAATGTGATTGAAATACAAAGCTGAATGAGAGGTTCAGCTAGGTTGTCAATTTTTTAGTAATGGGATTTTATCCACATGAGGATGAATAACATTTATTGTCTTAAAAGATCTCTGGTCCGCTGAATGCCTCTTTTTTTTGGTTTTTTTTTTTTTTTTTTTTTTTTTTTCCCCCTCTTTCTAGTAATTACCCCCAATTTGAACCCAACTTACTTTAGAGTCAGCCTTTTTCTTCTCAATCCAATCAAAGTAGAAAACATTAAAAAAAAAAAAAAAAAAAAAAAAAAAAAAAAAAAAAAAAAAAACCGAATACGAAAAAGAGAAAGGAGAGAGCATGAAAAGCTTAGTAAGGAGGCTCCTTTGATTTTTCACTTTCGTGTTAGAGACTGAAGACCGTATGTCTCTGAGCTCTTTTCTTTATCCCTTTAGATTTCTTTTTGCTGCTCACGAGACTAAAAGAATCTCATACACAAAAAATTAGCTTGACCGGACCAAAGACCATAACAGCTGGAGACACCCCATTTAAAGGAATCCATGGAAAAACCAACACACAAAGATGCAATAAGCATCTCCAAGAAACAAAAACAACTTTAATATTAGGTGAGATTTGCTTTAGTTGGAATTAATGCCATATATTAAAATGACTTAGTATATAATATATATATATATATATATATATACACACATGTATACATATACGTATTGAAGAATCTTGAACAAGGAAAAAGCCGACTATATTATTCTTTAATTCGAGACTGACTACATGTTTCTCTCATGCATGAATGTCTGCTGCCACCAACATATATCTTTTTGGGTTGTGTTCCAATAATAAATATTTGGGAGTTTTAAAATTCTATTATCCTATTTGCCACCTTACATATCAAAGGATTAGACTAAATTCGCCTACTCTTTTTAACGGAAAATACTAAAAAATATATTTACGAAGATACTATTCAATCGGTCTATTTATATATAGTTATGAAGATATTATTTATGTGACGAATTATTTACATTATCATATGATAATATAAATTTACTGAATCTTATATATAGTGATAGTATTGACGTCGTATCTGATTTCGATATCTGATGTAGGTTTTAAAGAATATTATAGTATACTAAAATATGTATGAGGTCTAGTTTTTCAAAGGGTTATCAACAATTTCTAGACGGATTCTTTTTTAGTGTATTTTGAGTAAGAAAAGCTTCTTTTTCCCAATAAACAAAATGGTACTGGTGAAATTGACTTGGAAGGACCCATGTTGGATTTTCAGATTTGATCAGGAATATTTTTATAGCCCCATTTTTAACACATACAAACAAGAAGTTAGACATCTATATTTCACCCTCTTAAGCTCTTTTTTCTGAAGCTTTGTGAAAGCTTTCAACGGCTATGCTCGACCAGGTAATCTTCCGGACTTCCCTGCTCTCCTGAATAATGAAAAAGAATAGAAAAATTAAGTTGAATTCTAATTGATAATTTATTTTTTTGCTAAAGAAATAAATCATTTTTGTTGCTAATCGAATGAATATATAGTTTATATAAAGCGTTATCTTTGCTACTGCCAATATTCTACAGTTTTTTTTTTTTTTTTTTTTTTTTTTTTTTTTTTTTTTTTTTTGTCGTATAGTCAATAAACAATAGAAAACCGTATCTCTACTTTTGGAAAGAAAGCTTGAAGCGCTAAAATTTACATTAGAGAGACCACAAAAGTGTGTACTTTCGCACTGCTGATGAACCCATCATGACTAGGTCATGTTTGGCTATAGAAGTTTGAAAATACTTTTCTTGCTTTTTTTGTAAGTGAATAACTAACCAATCTGCTTAATAAGTTAATAGTTAATCATAATTAGCATATCTTGATAAAGGAGACAAGCAAAAGGAAATAAAAGAAACTGCAAAGGCTAAAGGATGCCACATCATAAAATGTACCCAACACGACGAAATGTTAATTAGCTTTAAACAAACATCATTATGGAATGGAACAAAGTAAAGATAGACAATAATTTTGAAAATAGTATACCCCGAGATGATTAAGCATCTTAGAACTTATTACCGATACTTCAATGTAACAGTAGAAGGATGAAATATCATGTATAGTGTTTTTTTTATTTTTTTATTTTAAGAATATTATTGTTATTCATCAATATTGAAATGATCATGTGACAGAATAAAGTTGCATGATAAAAACTACGACAACGAGGTCTCATATCGCTATGATACGCTTATAATATAATGCTATCTATGTGGTGACAACGTCCTTAGTGATAATAGATAACGTTTTTCTTTTATTTACAAGCTATAATTTTAACATTACTAAAAAGAAAAGAGAAAGGAAAGGATACTCTTAATTCGTTATAAAAGCTGTTTTATTTGAAAAATTAAGATTATCATTTAAAAACAACTCTATATATCCCCCACAATATGAAACCAGCCTCACGTATTTAGAGAAAAACAAACAAACAAATAAACAAAAAAAAAGAAAGAAAAGAAGAAATTGTCTTGATAACTTTTAGCAAAATCTTTCCTTATATATATACATATTGTACTCTTTCATCATTAATTCTTTGGAAATTTTATTTTCTTGGCAAAAAGAAAATAAAAGTACTCTAGTACTACAAAGCGAGTAGTACTATCGCACACACCTCACGCTCTTTTTTGGTCAGTCACTGACAAACAAAAGACTCCAAAATATATAATTTCCCTCGGTTAAACAATAATCTTATTCATGCACCATTAAAACTACAAGCAAGTTTAAAAGAAGAAACAACCATACTTAAAAAATTTGATTATGAACTCCGAAGTAAAAGAAAAAAGAAATTAATCAATTACAAACCAAGCATTAACTATCATATCAAAAAAAGAAAAAAGAAAAAAAAAAACAAGCTTTAACTAATTAATGTTGCTAATTAACACACATATGCAAGAACGTGAAAGACAAATTAATTAAACACACCTGTTATGAATAGGATCTGGTCCATTAGGAACTCTTCTTTTGCTCATGTAGTTAATTCCATCTATCTTCGGATCATTAACAAGCTTCTGTGCACCCACCACTGCCTGATCTGTTCCTTTGAACCTCCCGGAGGATTTGCCCGCCGTAAAGTTTGCGGCCGTCGCGGTCGCTCTCGTTGCTCTTTTTCCCTCAGACGTGCCAACCAACAAAATCAAGATAAGCCCCACAATTGCAAGCGCTCGAACCAAGTCCTTTGAAAAGCAAGAATTGATATTACTACTCGTAGTACTAATACTACCACTAGAACAACTTCCCATATTTTCTTGCTTGCTTGCTTGCTTGCTTTATTTTTATTTTTATTTTTATTTTTGTGCTTCTTTTCCTTTATTCCAATTCTAGCTGGTGAAGATGCCCTTGTACTTGGAGAGAAGTTAGAGGAAAGGAAACGAAAAATTAGCAAGAGGAAGATGATAATTATGGTGAAGTTAAGGAAGGAAAGAAGAAAACAGGGGATAAAGACTGAGAGAGAGAAGAAAGGGAAAGGTTTGGGTTAAGGCAAGGTATTCTTTTGTTTGGGTGACATTTTTTCTTTTTTTTTTTTCTACTTCATGGGGTTAGGGGTTGCTAGTTTTCTTTATAGATAGGTAGAGTGATTCTGTTCCTTTTCTCTGGATGAGAGAGAGAGAGAGAGAGAGAGAGAGAGAGAGAGAGAGAGAGAGAGAGAGAGAGAGAGAGAGAGAGAGAGAGAGAGAGAGAGAGAGAGAGAGAGAGAGAGAGAGAGAGAGAGAGAGAGAGAGAGAGAGAGAGAGAGAGAGAGAGAGAGAGAGAGAGAGAGAGAGAGAGAGAGAGAGAGAGAGAGAGAGAGAGAGAGAGAGAGAGATTAGCTGGTATCAAACGTGACATGGAGGGAACCTTTGCTTTATACTGAGAAGGTGCCGATAGCTTTGAGTTTTGTGTATTTTCATGCACCTATATACCATACCAAAAAGACCATCCCTTACGTATAGCACAATGAAAGACAAAAGAATGATTGGGGTTTGGTCCCAAAATTCCCCATGTTATGACTGATCAAGATATATTAGTATTATAAATTAAAGAGAGAGAGAGAGAGAGAAGCCAATCTCTACAACTACATGTAATGTAACCAAGGATTTATTCCATAAGTATAAGAGTGAAAACATGGGTAAGTATCTTTTATGTAAGTGTTTTAAAGCATGTTTGTTTCTCAAGAAAATATTTAAATATACGTACAAGTACCATTACATACACAAAGCACTAGGTATAGTTTGAAGAATGTTGGAGAGATTTTGTCAAGTACGTGTATGCTTGCTGAAATACTCAGAAGCACCCTCTTGGACGCTAGCACCACTAGATTGGAACAATAATGGCCATTTGCAGAACACACCTGGACACCCAATTTCCAATGAAGTGAAAAGGTCGCATGAGAGCCTACTTTTCGCAAAGTAACGTATTAAAGTCGGAAGAGAGAAAACTACTGATGAGAAAGAAGGACCAGAGCACTAGAGCAAAATGATTTCAAGCCAAAACAAAGAAGATATGGTATTGTAATATATACGTGTAAATATATATATATATATATATATATATATACACACACTCTCTCTTGCGTTATGGTTTTATATATACACACACAATATAATGGCCATTTGCAGAACACACCTGGACACCCAATTTCCAATGAAGTGAAAAGGTCGCATGAGAGCCTACTTTTCGCAAAGTAACGTATTAAAGTCGGAAGAGAGAAAACTACTGATGAGAAAGAAGGACCAGAGCACTAGAGCAAAATGATTTCAAGCCAAAACAAAGAAGATATGGTATTGTAATATATACGTGTAAATATATATATATATATATATATATGCACACACATTCTGTTTCTAGGGTGTTATATATTCCCATAGTATCAATTGGGGTGCATTTGATTACGAAAGAAATGACTTACAAAATCAACTCTCCTGTCTTTTGCAATTGTACATGTGGACAAAGCACTTAAAGCTGTGCATGTCTGTCTGCGTTGTGACCATGAGAATTCTTCGCAGCATAGTAAGACTTATCTATCGACAAGATTGTTATTCACTTTAAATAGTAATGATATATTTTTAAGAAGATAAATCAAGTATCATAATTAATTTATCAATTCTTGAAAGTTTAAGCTGTTCGGAGGCGATTAATATTGATATTTATGTTTCAGTTTTTCTCGTTCGAACATTTTTAAAGACAGAAATCCAAACAAATGCTTAACACTATGTTCATATTTTTCATATCAAGAGGAACAAACCAAACAAAAATCCACGTATGACGGAGGAAGAAACTTAAAACTAGTTGTTGGAGTTAAATTCTGTCTAATTCTAAATCTAACTTATTTAACTTTTCTCTCTCTAAAACTCTTCTTTTTCTCTCTCTAAATTGTCAGAGTTTTAGTAAGTGGAAATCGCAAAGAAGATCCACCTGTCTCCGTGCTTCTAGTATTTATAGATTTTGCTTAAGTCAAGTTCTGCACTTCACTCGTTACCCACGTCATCTCTTCTCGGCCACGTCAGCTTTGTTTTATTCTATGGATTTGTAGTGTTTTCTCTGTTCAGAAGTTTTCCTCTTTACTTTTAAGAGCTTATGAAAGACGTCGTTTTTTCCTTTAACAAAATGACTTCGTTTTGCAGCACCTTATATTTATCCACACACTACTTACTCTGACACCATATTAGTTTCTCTGAAAATTTAACATGTTAGAAGGTAGATTCGCGTTAGGATTATTTTCCAATAACAACAACAAGAAGTCTTAATCCCAACTTAATTGGGATCGGCTATATAAATTTCACTTTTTTACGCAGTTCTGTTCGAAATTAGACTTTTCTGAAGGCCTAGATCTAGAATGTATTTCCTAACTATTTCAGTCCATGTAATTCTTGGTCTACTCCTCCATCTCCTAATATTAAGTATAAAAATGTTCTCCCAAACACAAACTGATACTTCTAACGGTTTACGTTAGACATGACCGTACCACTTCAGGTGGCATTCACGTTAGGATTATTTTCCAATACCATAAATTCAAAGACGACTTTTGAACGTACAATTCAGTGTCTCTTTTACTTAGCAACTTAGAACTAGGACACATCTACTACTAATTTATAGCGTGACAGACAGGCAAAAAAATTTGGAAGTCCTAAATGAATTCTTCCAAAATATCATAAGCCTTTTAGTCTTATCCAGTTGAAATTCCCCTTAAGCAGCCATAGAGTTATAAGAATCTTATACTTTCCAGAAACACAACATACATACAAATAGTACTTGCCAAACATAACATAAATAGTTCAGGCAGACATATGGCCCACAAGATTTATGCTTGACAACATGAGCCACTCTTAGTTGGAACAAAAATGGTAGTTATATAATTGCTAATTTAACCCTTCTCTGTTCCTGATCTCTTCAGGAACATGATACTAAAGAATAAAATAATGCTATTGAATTACAATATATTGATGTTCATTATTATAATGAATATATATATATGTATATAAATGTGCCGGAATAGACTGAACAGAAGCTGGTTCATTGGGAGGAGGCTTTTGATTAGGAGGAATATATAACTTCACCCCTTAACTCACTGAGACCAAGGCATTTTCGCACAATTTGTCTTATCCATTCCATATGGTAGGACAAAAAAATTGTAAAACTTTTTTTGTTGTTGGAAGAATCTAATGCTGGCTTCATCTTGAAGTTAGATTATATATAAGGGCAGATAAAACTTAAAAACCATTAATGTTAATGTTAAACCTTGCATGTGTATAAATATGGGAATTACTTCAAATCTATAATGAGATTTGGGCACGTGTAAGGCTTCCTAATATAATATGGGAATGTTGACACAGGAATATAAAAGTTATGCAATATCCTATGTTTTTTAAACCTCTACGTACTTTCAATGGCAATAATTTTGTAATGAAGCATTGGCTAGAGCCCTCCACATAGCAGACTAGACAGCAATCCAGCTTCTGTGGAAAAATGTTTGGGATACTATTGGAAATTTGGACTTGACTTTTTGCGAGACAGAAGTACTAAATAATATCAATGGAGAAAGTTATTAGGAAAATTCAATGGTAGGACATAAAAAGATACAATATCGGTAAAGTATAAGTGTTGAGCGGCAATTTTGTTTTAATGGATGAATTGTTATGTTTTTGTCAAGTTCTTTCACACATTTTTTAATTTGATATTGATTCTATAATGTCATCTAACTGTGTCACACTATAACGAGAATTTTCAAGTTATTAGATAAAATGGTGCGAATAATTCTGTATAAAAATGTTTGGAATCTAATTATTAAATACAATCCAAAATACCTATCCCCCAATTATTACAGTCAAATCAAATTAAGTGAATCCATTCCGCAATGGCTTCTCCCCCGCACAATTCTACTAATTCCAGTTGTCAACAATCTTAAGCAGTGGTTTTAGAAAAGATTTGTCTGTCCATATCTTTAAAGGATTTGTTTCTTTAAAAAGTGAGCTTCCCTTTCAATTGTAGCCCAGAGTGACTGCAAGTATAGTGCCAAGTGAATCACTCACTACAGCTTTGAAGAGTTGGATATGATAATTAATGGAACTAAAAGCAAAGAGTACAAACACCATCTATCTTTTATGAAGGAATCCCTTTTTACTAATAAATATTGTTCATTCATATATTATGGTGGAGCTTCGGCCCATTCTAAGGATAAACTTCCGCGCTTTAATCTGTGTTTTATTATTCCGCTACATTGTAAGGTTAGTTTTTAGTCCAATCACATCATGTCATATAGTTTATAGTATGAAAAAATTAAATGATTAATTATAGAAGTTCCTACAACAAAAGGAAAAAAAAAATATTTTGCACGTCAAATTACATTGAAATCATGTATATGTATAAGAACAAGTCGCACTTTATGCCTATATATGGAATATTGTTCAAAATTGAGGTGTTGAAAATATTCACTACCATAAAGGTATTCTCTATTTTCTCATATATATATATATATATATATATATAAACAGCCTTTTTCACATGATATCGGCTGTTCAGGAACTATCCCGCGCTATAGGTGTATAGGTGTAACTTTAAACATTGGACTAGGGGGACTTTACCAATTTATTTGGCCTACATATAGCCCACCAAGGCAACCTCTTTTCTTCAATAACATAATTTACAGAAGGGTGCTCTAGTGGGGCAAAATATATATACATACATATATATATATATCTGTGTGTGTTTTCATCTATCTCTTGCAAATCATATGGGTATAAAACCCACCATCTTTTTGGATTCGCACACGAGATCATAATATGCAGCGTTCACTCTCACAAATTCGATATTGATTAAGGGCTTTCGAATATGTACTCAACTTGTAGTGTAAATAAGAAAAGTGAGTGTAAAGTTTTATGATGATTTTATGCCGCAGAAACCAATAGATTTGAGTGCAAATTAAAGCACGCATTTCTATACATGTGCCTAATCATGCTGTTCTTGGTCCTTGTCAAAGAAGCATGCTTTAGCCATGCAGAGTGGGACCACTCACAGACATTTTTCTCGTACAAGCTTCTTTTCATTAAAGTGGATACGTTTGGTTTGATGAAATGATTATTAAAATGATTTTAAACTTCTCAATTAA